AAAAAAAAAAAAAAAAAAAAAAAAAAAAAAAACATTCAGGTCTGAGGTGTACGTACACCTCACCGTCTCAGCCACCAGAGCGCCGCTCAAGCCCGGAGGAACGGAAAAACAAAAATCCCCAATTGCTTCGAATTTTCCTCCTTTTGCAATACCAAACACTTTCTTGCTGCATGCAGGCAGCGGCAGCAGCAGCGCTGCTGCTGCTGCTGCTGCTGCTGCTGCTGTTGCTGTTGCTGTTGCTGCTGTTGCTGCATATGCATCCAGAGGACAGCAGAAAAGCAGCAACACCAGCAGCAAACAACACCACTGCAGCTTCTGTTTCAGGGGCCCCCTGAAGGGGGCCCCCAAATGGGGGCCCCCTGAAGCAGAGTGTGGGGGTTCGGCTGCCATGGGTACGACGCCGGGGGGCCCCCTCAGTGCTGCAGCCTCAACTGTAAACCCTAAACCCTAAACCCTTTTATTGAATGAGGAGAGCTGCTGCTGCGTGTTGCTGCAGGTCAGAGGGAGAGGCGGCCCCAGCTGCTGCAAGGAAACAACCGGAAATAAGCGGGCCGCTGGTGAGTGCTGGTTTTGTTTGAAATCAGCTGATTCAGATCGTACGCGGTGGCTCTAGCTGCTGCTGCTGCTGCTGCTGCTGCTGCTGTTTCTGCTGCAGCTGCGCTGCAGCGGGAGAAGACAGAAGAACCTATGAAAAGACGAAAGTGACTCTGGAGAGAAAATAAATAAAAAAAAAAAAAGACAAACACGGAATTGAGAAATTTTGCAAGTTCAGGTTTCGAGGGGGCAGAGAGAATGAAACGCAGCAGAAGGGAGAGGAAAGCGGCGATCAGCAGCGGATAAAGAAGAAAATAAATAAAAATAAAAATATAAATATAATACAGAAACACTTAATTATAAAATAAATTAATTTTTTTTATTTATAAATACCACTTTATTTCCGCCGTTCATATTTCACGCAGTCTCGTGAGCTGCCTATACACCCGAAATCGGTCCAATGGAAACCTATGGACTCCGCTCTTCTTTTTTCACTTTTTCAGTTCTTTATAATTCTTTTTTATTTATTTTATTTAATTAAACTAATAAAGTCGAATAAATTACTGAAATTTTACACAAAAATACACAAATTGAGCTGCCTATACACCCCAGTGTGCATACGCACTGAAGATAATATAATCTCTTTAATATGAATACACCGCAAAGCGAAATAAAAAAAAAATCTGACTTTTATTATTCCAATTATTTTCCTCACGCATTCTGCTTTTCTTTTTTTGTGTTTTATGTTATCTTCTGCAAGCATTCCGCCCCTATTCGTGCCCACTATGTGTAGCGGTGATGCATCTATTTTTTTTTTTTTTTTTTTTTTTTTTTTT